GGTTCTCCTCCATGGGTCTCCACTCAAGACCCATCTCTATTTTGTGCTCCAATAGGAGTTCTAGAATCTCCTTTACAGTTGGAGAAGTGATTTGACCAAGATTCCAGAAAAACTGGCCAAGGATAGGGAGCTTCTTGAAGGTGCAGAGGACCCCCACACTCATTAGGGTCTCAGCTGTTCACATGCCAGTTCCTAGGGCACAACCTGGAGGAAGCAACATCTCATATGCTGCTGGCTTCTACAAAACTCTAACAACTAAATGGGCTCAGAGAAAGGCAGAGGCTTCCCATAAACAACAAGAGGGCCTGAGGCCTCTGAGCTTGGAGGTGGGCACTCACCGCCTGAAGACTACGTCGAGTATCTGCTGGATGGTGGCACACATCGGGTATACACACAGGAAGGCTATCAGGGAATTACGGTCCCCGTCCCGCACAGCAGTCAACATGTTATCCACCAGCACATCCAGCGTGTTGAAGCAGAACTCCTTTGGCTCATTTGGGGCAAACACCTCTGGCTCCTTTGGACCATGCTCCTTCACATCCCTTAGACCAGACTCTTCAAGGTCATTTGGGACAGACTCCTTCCTCTCCTCTGGGGCAGTCTTCTTCAGGACAATTGGGGCAGACTCCTTTGGTGCAGACTCCTTCTCCACCTGAGGAGAGACCAAAGAGGATGATTCAAATAGGCACAGGACTGCAATGTTATGGTTATTATCATTCCACGTTTTCCTGATCCTTTACACTGCCAAACTCCAAGAGTGAAATTTGGGAAAAAGGAGATTTCAGAGTGGTTACCTGGTCTGAGTTGTCCTGGTCCTGGCTGCCCTGACTCAAGGTTTTTTCTTTCTGGCCAAATGGCCAGAGGCAGTGGAGCCAGGAGCAAACCCGGCTTCTCCAGGCACCACCATGGTCTCCATCGTGACCTCTAATTTTCTCGTTCTTGACGTCTGAGGCTCCACGAACTCCAAAACAACAGGAGAATATCCTGCTTTCTCTCCTGTCTGACGACAAGTGAGACTACTGGGCTGTCTCTAGGCAGTTGGCTGCCTGGTTGCAGGGTTCTGCATTGTGATGTCATAGTTAAGGAAGTGAGGTCACTCCTGGAGTCACCTTGCTTGAGTCTTCTCCTCACACAGAGCTTTCCCAAAAGTCTCCTAGGTCCCCCCTCCTCCCAGGTGCACTACTTGACACAGATACAAAGGTGCTTCCTATTCTACTGCTCCTTGGGTACAGGCAGCTCCTCGGTTTTGCAATCTGAGCCCCTCCTGTTGACCTGCTTCTGTTACTCTAATTCGAAACTCAACCCCAACTGCCCCAGCACACTGTAAAGCCTTGTCATGTTGCCTTGCCTCTAGGCTACTATGTGTGTGTTCTGTGTGAAGTATGAGCACACATCACCTGTGTGTGTTGGGTTTTCATGAGGACTAGCATCGACCCCATCTAGGTCCTGCTGAAACTCATGAAGGATCTGGTTCTGTAGAATGATACCCACAAGATCTCCAAGCTACAGGATACCCCAGAAGAGCTCTGGTGAAGATCCAGTGAGGATGGTGTATCAAAAACCTGAGGCCTTGAGAGACCAGTGACTCATTGCAATGAACAGTTGCCAATCGAGACCAGTCTCAGCCTCTTCCTATAACCTCCATCAAAGGCTACTCACGCTAGTTTGTTCCTAGTGTGAGATCTAAAGGCCATATCTATAGGAGGTAGCGACTATTCTCAGAGCATCAAAATGTGGCTAAAGTTATACCTTATACTATATGTATGACACACCGGAGCCTCCAGTGACATCGGGATGGATGAAGAGATGATGGGGAGGCAGGAGAGAAGGAGAAGCAGAGAGTTTTCTGTTTTGCGTATAAATTTGGTTCTCTTATGGTTTAGCGGTTTTTGTTGTTTTTTTGTTCTTGCTTGTGTTTGTTTGCTCGCTTACTTTGTTTTGTTTTCTTTTGTGAGGGGGATGCAGCAAGGATGAGGGGGAACATCCTTTTGAGAGGGGGACTGGGAGGTGGATAGAATAGGGGTGCATGATGTGAAACCCCTAAAGATTCAGTAAAGAAGTTTAATTTTTTTTTCTTAGTTGGAAACACATTAAGCCCATGGTGCACTTGTACCTTCCATTTCCCACCCAAAGCCCACAGATCAACACCAGCTCAGAAACATGATGACCTTAAGCGGGTCCTGAAAACTGTGTGTGCCTGTCTGATGTTGAAGTTATGAGAACAACTTACTAGTGACTTTCATGGTTAGTTTTTGTCAGCTTGCCACAAACTAGAGTCATCTCGGAAGAGGAAGCTTCAAGAGAGGAATTGTCTCTGTGAGGTGGACCTGTGAGCATGTCTGTGAGATGATCTCATGATCAGTGTTTGATGTGGGAGGGTCCAGTCAGAGTGGAGCATTTGTTAGAATTACTGAACTTGCCTCATCTGTTTTGTAGAAATTCGAGGCATTTCAATCCTATCCTTCTTTTCGTGGCTAATTAGCTTATCATCTTAGTGCTGAGTAATCTTTCATTGTCTCAATGCATTGACCTTCCCTTCCCATAACTTCCCTTGGAATGTTTTGTTATTACTCTGGTCCCTCAGCTGCCTAAGCAGGTATTTCCCCTCCACTTTCCTAGGCTTCATCCCTGACATCCTTCCATCAGTCTCATTCCTCATTTAGTTCATTCTGTTTTTGCCCAGGGAATCCCTTTGGAACCAGCCCCCAACGTTACTACTCTAAGGAACTCTTCCCAGGCCCCAAATTTGCTTCCCTTTTATGCTCTCCTCGTCCGCTGTATCTCAAGAGCACAAGAAGCCACGTGACTGTGAAGAGCTGTCATTTCTGCTGGTGTAGCCTCGCAACCATGCCCCTGCCATGTTCCTGTGTGTCTCTAGTGCCAAGTATAGTATCTAAACATAGTGCTCAGTAAATTTTCGTTGTCGAATTATGCTGAAGGAATGCTCCAATCAGAAGCTGAATGCTGGTCTTTCAGAGCTTCAAAAACCTCTCTTTAAATTGTACCGGATACCGAACCAAACAGGGAGTTTTTCCTCCCCCCACCCTTTCTTTTCTTTTAAGAAAAAAGCATTCTGGGGGCTAGAGAGATGTCTAGATGTTTAAGACCACTGGCTGCTCTTTCCAAAGGTCCTGAGTTCAATTCCCACGTGGTGGTTCACAACCAGTTATGATGAGATCTGCTGCCCTCTTCTGGCATGTATGTGTACATCAGGCAGAACATTATACATAGTAAATTAAGTCTTTAAAAAGCGGGGGCACTCTTAATTTTTTTTATTTGACAAGCACCAATATCATGTTTATCATTTTAATGTAGATACAATTGTTAGGTTATTGTCATTTTACAATAATTAAGTTTTTATTCTATGTCCTTTAGGGTGCATTAAAAAGCAACAACCAATCACATCAACTGCAGCCGCGAAGGGGACACAGAAGGGCCCCAGCCGCTCCCTCATCACAGCAGACCTTCACTCATTCTGCTGTTGAAGGCTAAGAAATGTCTGCTGACGTGAGCGGAGCGTGAGATGGCTCCAGGAATTCACTCCCTGAGGCTCATGACGTGGCACTGGTGACGTTGGAAAGAACAGAAAAGCAGGGACGGCCAAATGACCCGAGTATGGAGGCACAGGCCTGCTTTCCCCACAGGAGCACCCCAAAGTGTGTTGACAATGATCTCACACCCCCAGGACAGGGCGTGTCACACGGCGGAACTGTTCTTTTGCAGACGCTCAGCCGTGCTCAGTGTACTGCTCGTCTGTCGGGATTTCTGTGGACCTCTCAGTCACGCTGCTGTGGATTGAACCTGGCTCTTGCTATCTCTGGAATGAGGGCACCGTGCATTTCTAGTCTGTTCCAGTACTTGTGGTGCATCCTTCGTCATTGATGTAGAACTTAAAATGTGGTTCTCTTACTTCTGAAGCTCATACTTAATGAAAATGAAGATTCTGCATCGATATTTTCTGCATCACGATTACTCATTTTCACATCACAGCATGATTTGATCATTTTGGTCAGCTCCTTTTTGTTCATCTGGGCGCTGTCTTGAAGTTTTTTGGAGCCAACAGTTTCACTGTTTTTAAAGGCAAGAAGAACTGCCATTTGGGAGGCCGTAACCATAGCTACATGCAGTTTTGCCAAATAGTCTTTTAACTTCACCTTACAGAGGCTATCTAACCACGTCAGCTCCCTTCCACTGAAATATTGGCTATAAAATAATTTAAACATCTATTCACTTTTTTCTAACTCTTGGGGAATTGCAAATGCAGATGAAGAAGCCTCAGTGAGAGGCAGTGCACCTGCCTGAAGGACTTATATGTGGAAACCAACCCCCTCATCTCTCCCCGGGTCTTGGTTTCTGATGAAGGATTGAGCTTATTGCTGCCATCAGCACTGACACTCACATCTGTGGCCATGTGATCCAGCTTCCTGGTAAACTCATAACCACAGGCTTGCTTTAATTTATTGATCACGGCTTCTTCAGAATCCATAGACACAGACAAGTCCTAAATTAGACATTTTGCTAGCATTCTTGTGTAGAAAAATGGTTTTATCATCGATATATTTACAAACAGTGATGAAATTGTTGAGTTTGTCCTACACTTCATTCTGTGTCATACCTTCGCTGGCTCCAGAATACTCCTGTGCAAATGCCAAACCCAATTTTTAACAAACAAACAAAACAAAACAAAACAAAATCCTTTGTTTCTCCATAAAGTCTATCTCCAAGTGGTTCAGGACAGGCCACACACAAAGCATCATTACCTGAGAAATGGTCATTCCGTGTTGCTCTCTCAACTTTATCCAACATAACAATAGCTTTGCCTGTAGTTAGCAAGTTGTTTTATGTTTCAGAGACATTGTGCAAGCTCAGTGTTGAAACGTCTGCAGAAGCAGAGCAAGAACAAGGGCCGGGGAGGCAGGCAACCCGCAGGCGTGAAGAATGAAGCCTTCTGGCTCAGACGGTGGCCATTGGTGGCTGTCAGCTCCAGGAAGTGTTCTTAAGGAGCTTACTCAAGAGAATCTTCCTCGGTTCTATTTTAGTTATAGATTGTTTACCTATAAAAGCTATTCATTAATCTTATGTACTGACAAGGGTGTGGTTCAGAGATACGAAACTGAAAATTCTTTGTCTTGGGAGAATTTGTACCTTTCTGAGCAATTACTCTTGAGAAAAGTTAGTGGGAAGGAAACCAAGACACATCCAATTAGGATCCAGTAAGAGGTGGGCAGGCGCAACTGGTTTGCCGGGTTCTCCAACCTTCTGCTGAGCTGCAAACCGCTTGTTGTGTGGAAAATGTCTAAGATAAAGAACCCCCGGACTTTTGAGGAGCAAACAGAATGTGTTATGAATGGCCTGCTCGAAGACCTTTTGACCCCAACCTGCCAGGTGGCTAACCGGAACCTACTGGATGATGAGGAACCATATTCAGGTAAGGCTCCTGGTCTGGGGTGGCTACAGGTAGGTAATACAGTCGGAGTTTGTGCTTTCTGTTTCCTCTTAAGGTTTAGAAGGCCAGCCCTAAATTTTTGGTTACATTTGAAAGAAAAGAACTTCTCAATAAAGGAGATGGCCTCACTATAACTACTGAGAACAAGCAATGCTAAAACTGTTTTTAAAAACTTGAGGATGAAGTTGAGGCCAGCCTACTCTACAGAGAGTTCCAGAACAGCTAGGGCTACTCGAAGAAACTCTGTATCAGAAAAGCAAGAATAAGACTTGAGAATGTTTTTCTTCTACCCAGATTCAGGAGACTTCCCATTTCTTCAAGCATAGTGAAAGTATTTTCTCTGTCTTAGGAGAGACTAGTCCCTCTGAATGTGGTTGACAGTTGGGACAGACTGAGGGGCCAATGACAAAGGCCCTGGGATTTGTCTCTACTGCATGTACTGGCTTTTTGGGATCCAATTCTCTTTGGATGTATACCTTGCTCAACCTGGATGTAGTGGGAAGGGCCTTGGACTTCCCACAGGGCAGGGTGCTTTGCCCTCTCTTAGGATTGGAGGAGGGTGGGGGAAGGGTGTGTGGAGAGAGTGGGAGGGAAGTGGAAGGAGGGAGGAAGTGGGAATTTGGATTTGGTATTTTTTAAGTAATAAAATATAATAATAATAATGATAATAATAAAAATAAACTTGATGATGTAGTTGAGGCTTGTCTACTCTATGGAGTGAGTTCCAGAACAAGTAAGGCTACACAGAAAAACTCTGTCTCAAAAAAACAAGAATAAGACTTGAGAACATTTTTCTTCTACCCAGATTAAAGAGACTTCCCATTCCTTCAAGCACGGTAAACGTATTTTCTCTGTCTTAGGAGAGGATTTCTCTTTTGATGTGGCTATTATTGTTGACCGCCTTCGAATGCTGGGTGACCAGTTCAATGGAGAACTGGAAGCTTCTGCCAATAACGTCATTGCAGAAACCACTCGAGAACAGGTCAGGGTTTGATTTTTAATATTGTCTGCTGCTTGTTCTATCTCAAATGTAACATTTCACCTTCCTTCCTCCCTTTTTTATTCCTATATATCAGGAATAGAAATGTTCTGTGAAGATTTTGAGGTTTATAAAGAAGCTATAGAGGAAAATGTGATTGCTAATTCTTTAGACATCAGTAAGAACCCAGTACTATAGAAGGAACTCGTAGGCGTCATTGGAGCCGCCCTTGGTGTGCATACATCATGTTCATAGTTCATTATTCTTGGAAAATAATTCTTTATGTATATTATTATTATCATTATTTTATGTATGTGTTCATGCTGTGGGGAGAGGGACATGTGTGCCACTGCATATCTGTGGAGGTCAAAGGACAATTTTGTGGTGTTTCCCCTTCCACCTCTATGTACGTTTCAGGGATTGAATTCAGGTTACCAGGTTAGTATGACAACTATCTTTAATTCTTGAGCTATCTTGGCAGCCCTCTTCTTCATATTTTTAATGCTTAACTTTGCTGGGAGTGAGCTTCTTTCTTTATCCGGGGTCCAATAGTGAGATAGAAATATTGGCTAGTTTAAAAGTTCGAGATAAACATTCGAGATAAACCCTTAAAGAAGTCTACTGGCTTTTCATCAGAACTCTGATTACTGGTGGTAAGTAGCACCTGGACTTTATATGGCTATCAAGACCATCAGACCATGTTCCAGTACACGCTGCTGATCAAATCAACAACAGCCAGTACTTACCACTTTGCAAGGCCACATTTCATGGCTTGATCATTGCGCTCATGAGCTGTTTTTCTTAGAGCGGCCTCTCTGACTCAGCATATAACTCCATGACAGCAAACATCACCCTGTTTTCCTCCTTTTCGTATTCTATCATTGCAAAATGTGTCTTATATGCTATCGGCCTGCAATGTGTGCGCCCTGACTTGACACCGTTAAAGCACACAGCGAATGGAAGCGTAAAGGAACAAGTAAGAAATGTATTCTGCAAATGCTGAAGCTGGGATTTGAACCCAGACTGGTTCCAGAAGCACGCTTCATTCTTCCTAAAGGACAGTATAGGGGATATGCCTGTGTCATGTTCAGACAGAACCTTACCGCCGACTGCTGACACGAGGCTGTCAAATGTGGGTGGTCACGAGGTTAACTTTTCTTCTTCTGTATTTAGAGCAATAACAATACAAAACAATAACAACAACAAGAAAAGAAAAGACATTTGAAACAATTTCCGGGTCAAGTTGGAAGCATGGTATAGAGCAGTGGTTTCAGTCTTCCTAATGCTGCGCCCCTTTAATACAGTTCCTAATGTGGTGACCCCCAACCGTAAAGTTATTTTCAATATTACTTCCTAAGTGTAATGTTGCTACTGTAAGGAACTGTAATGTAAACATCTGTGCTTTCTGATGGTCTCATGCAACCCCTGTGAAAGTTGTGAAACACAACTGCACAAAAGGGCGCAACCCATAGGTTGAGAGCTGTGGTATAGAGTTCTCCAGCCATTTGGGAGTAGCTAGTAGGGCAGTTCCTCTCTCTTTAATACTTTGATACTTCCTTCAAGTAAGAACATTTTTTCATAGAACCTCAATACAACCACCAAACCCAGGAAACACATATGCACTATGGCATGTGCACACACACATTAAATAAGTAAATACATACAAGCAAAAACAGCAAACAAATAAAAAAAAAAAACCTCAGCTATAGGTACCAAAGCTATTTCTTTTCCTAGCTTTCTTAGGATTTAACATTCTGCTCTGAGCAGTACTGAACCCCTTTATACCCCAGTGATCTACCTTGGCCCCACCTAATAGCTTTTGAACCAATTTGTTTGGGAGGGGAAAAAGAAGAGATTTTTGTTTGTTTTGACTTTAGGCTTGGCTGTACATTTCTAACCATAGAAATAATGCCTTTACAGTTGAACTGCTCACTCTCGTGTGCTTAATAGCTTTCTTTTAAAGTGTTTTGTTCATCCTACCCAATGGTATCTGAAGGTATGAGCTTGATGAGTTAATGTTTTTCTAATAGTAAAGTAACAAAATGCTAAAGCTAAGGAATTTGTTCTCCATCTGCTCTCCAATACTCCCTCATGCTACGGTGGTCCACTGGTCCCTTCCTGAAGAGTTACTTCTTCCAGACCCCAGGACCCTTGAGTCACACTGACAGAGCCTGTCTCCCTCCTCAGGCAGGAACGATATTTGAGGACACAGTGCGGTCTCTCAGCACGGCCTGGTGTGCTCAGAACTCCACCCTCGCTTTTGAAAGAGCTTTTCTGGCAGTGTCTGTGAAACTTCTTGAATATGTGGTCCAGAAGGCTCCTGAAATGGCAAGAAGGATGGCTAACTGCATGACGGGCATGATCAACGGGAACACAGCCATCCGAGAGTTCATCCTGGGGCAGGGAGGATGGGTGAGTTTTTGCTAAGGCCCCCACTTTGCTAGGCATGTGTGCTGTTTTGGTTTTTGACAAGCGAGACTCTTAATTATTAACCTTTTTATAAGTGGTCATGGAAAAGGGAAACCAAAAGTTCAGCCTGTGAGGGTTGGACCATGCTGCCTGAAATGTTGACCACTGGCTGTAAAGCTAATCTCTACCATAGATAATCAGCTATAAAGTATATTGACAGTGAGTGCACATTTCAGCCTGGCCTTACTCTGCTTCCTGGTAAACTGCTGAGTCTTTGTTCCTTAACATCTTTAATATGTGTTGAGGAAATTTAGAATAATCTTATGTGTGTGTGTATTTCTTGTTTATTGTTTGTTTTAGAGAGAGAGAGAGAGAGAGAGAGAGAGAGAGAGAGAGAGAGAGAGAGAACATAAAGTTGAGTGGGTAGGGATGAGGGACCTGGGCTGAATTGGGGAAGTAGAAAACATGATAAAATATGTTGTGTCAAAAAAGTTGTTTTTCAATAGAAAAAAATCCAACAGTTTGTTTCATCTATTGTAGACTTGCCCTATAGTGGACAGAAATCTTTTGGTTTGTTTTTTGTTTTTGTTTTTTTCACATAGGATTTTTCTTGTAGCCATGACTGTCCTGGAGCTTGATCTGTAGATCAGGCTGTCCTCAGACTTAGACCTGCATCTGCCTCCAAAGTGCTGGGATTAAAGGCATGTGCCACCACTATTTTTAAAAGACATATGCCACCTTATTTTTTTAAAAAATAGTGATAGATAGATAGATAGATAGATAGATAGATAGATAGATTGATCGATCGATCGATCCTGGTTTCTCCTCTCCCAACTCCTCCAAGATTTCTGCCCCTTCTCATCCACCCTCTCAGATTCTATCCTTTCTTGTTTCTGCTCATTAGACAACAAACACTAAGCCTACATCCTAATCACCTGTAGGGTTTCTGCTGTCGTAGAGCATCATAGAGCACTTCTTCCCATTGCTGGGGTCAATAGAGGCGTGGGAAAAGATGTGGTCGTCCTTGGCAACATCTGCAGATCCTTCCCCAGAGTCTTAGACAGTTCCGAAGGGCCATCTTTTGTACTAAGATTCTCACTGTTCTTCCTAGGAAAACCTGGAGAGCTGAATAAGTGGGGTTGTTCTGACTCAACATCACATCCTCCGATGTTTGCCAATTAAAACATGCTTTCTTCAACTTACCCAGTGCTGCGTTTTTACTGATTGCTGACTGTGGGAGCAGGCCAGTCCATCTACAGTGATGTTATACTTTCTGTTTTTACCTGAGTTGTAAGAAGAGTTTGTTGAAACAGAGACCTCCTGGCAGTAATTTCTTACTAGTGAAATCTCAAGCCCCAAGGCAGAGCTTTGCTGGAGATAGTTTGAAGGAGGCAGCACATTATAAACTTTCCCTTCAGGTTTAGCCCTGCCTCTTGTTGAGAATTTTGTCTTCTAGTGATTTTGGAATCTAAAGGTCAGCTTTTAGTTTAAAATCTTATTTCTTCAAGTAAAAGGTTTTCATTCAGATCCATCTTAACTTTCGTGTTTATTTCGCCTGAGCAGAATTTATTCGACCATTCTAGAGCCTTGAAGGCAACATTAGCAGCTTATCATCTACAGTTCTGCTGGAAATATCAAAGAAAGTTACTGTGTTTTCATTGTCAGGATGTGGGAAGTGTTGGCCCACATGGAGGACCACTGGTCTGCCCCAGCATGGCTGATGCTAACTGCATACTGTAACAGGGCCCCCAGACCTAATTAGGCCCCCAAACTTTAGCACATCTGACTCAATGATGGAAGTACCATCCAGGCTATAAAATTCAGCATACAGACAGTATCATTGGCCAAAATAAAAACAAAGGTCTAATCCACCAAAGTTCATGGTTCTGGGAAAGTCTCTAAATGTACTAACCTTGCTTTTTGTCTTCTGTAGTTCCATTTCTGACAAACTGCTCTTGTTAACTGGAGTGTATCAACCCAGAACATGGTTTTTGTGCTTAAGATCTCACCCTGAGAAAGGCTTAGTGTTAAACTGGGATCCCAAACAGCCAGTGTACTCCCTGGCCCACTAATAAAGACTTTCTATTGGTTTAAACCCACGTTCAAGCAGTCTTCTCTGGTGGACATCCTACAGCATTTCTAGAGGTGCCACCAAGATCCTCAGACACCAGATTTTGAGATACCAGGGGTCTCAGATCCCCTGGGAGCAGGGAAGAGTGCAGTGGCCAAGGAGCTCCTAGGGAGTGCACAACCTGAGTTCTAGGCCCTCAGGAGTCTCTTTGATTAATATCTGCCTAACACTTTAGAGGAGTCTGACACTTTCACCCCAAAAGGAAAGTCATCTGGTCTGTCACCTCTAGAGGTGAGTCTGGTTAAAGTGTCCTCTGGTGAGACACATAAGGTCGGACATGGCTGCTGATCCAGTGTCTGTGATCTGGGTGATATGTCACATGATTGTGCAGTGGCCACCCCTGTTTGTTTTTATTCTGCATCTTTCTGCATTTCTTTCTACGTGTTTCTGTCATTTTGTTTCTGATTATTGACCAATGGCTTCCTCTGATGTGAGATACCCCTCTGGCTTAAGGCTTGTTCCTCTTCTTGTTGGGGACCTGATTCATTTTGGCTCTGCCAGGTCACCCCTCCTCCACATACACACAAAAGCAACCCTGCCTGTCCCACTTGTTTTGTCACTTGACTTCCAGCCTGTGTGGAGTCAGGAGCAGCTCCTGCCTTCTAAGCTAAAGGCTCCCTTAGGTATGCATTCCCCCCCCCTCCCCTGACTGCCCTAAGCAGTCCCAGAGAAGGGGGAAAGGGGAATTCCCACTCCTTCCTCTTTTGTGGGTTTTGTCTTTTGTTTTTTCAACCAGTGATCCGTAGAATTAGAAAACTCAAAATCTTCCATTCAATGAAAAAAAGTAGACAAATTGCCTCCAAGCTGCTGGGGGTGGGGAAATCACTGCTGGGTAATGCATCCTGGATAGAACAGATTTTTCCTTCTGTCCAACACTGACCAAGAAGACGTTGAACAATTTTCCCTAGTCTTCTTTAGAAAATTAAATACAGCCACGAAAAAGAACTTCTTCGTCACCCAGCAGGCCTCAGATATTAGAAAAAAGTTCTAAAAGTAAACAAAAGTTAAAGGTTCCAGTTGCTGGAGGTAGCGCAAAAGGTGTTTAGTAGCAGAGAACTGGTCAGGACAAGACCTTTTGCACAACCCCATCACCTTCTCTGACGATGGGGTGCAGTTAGACTTATAGATACCCAACAACAGTTTGGTGTCTTGCCCTCTGTTGATAGAATATCACCTTGGTACTGACGAGATGGCTCAGTAGTTAGGAGCACTGGTGTTCTACAGAAGACCCAGGCTCAATTCCCAGTACCCACATGGCAGCTCACAACTGTCTGTAACTCCAGTTCCAGGGGATCCAATACCCTCATATGTGCATGCAGGCAGAACACCAATGTACATAAATAAAATTTTTAAAAAATAATAATAATAAAGGTTAAAGAAAAGAAAGAATATCTCCTGCTGAAAGTCCTACCCACAATCAAAGTATACAGTTGGACTAACAGATTGACAACAAAGATTTCCAGGACTATGGACAGAGACTGACCCCCTAGGACTAGCCAAACACGGAGTGCCTATAACTGTTCAACTAATAGTTCAGCTGCCCCCATACAGATTAAACAAAAAGGGAAATTGTAGTCAATATTGCCTGACATAGAGAGACAGGCATCTTGGTGCCCTTCCAGCTACCCTGGAACACACCTCTTCTGCCTGTGAAGAAACCCAGGGACCTCTGGTTCTCACGAGTCTGATTCTTTCAGAGGAACAGCTGTACACTGTCTTGGATCTGAAAGATGCATTCTTCAGCCTCCCATTGGTAGAGGTGAGTCAACCTATTTTTTGCTTATAAAAGTACAGACCCAGAGAGAGGTGACAGTGGACAATTTACATGCACCAGGTTGCCCCAAAGGTTTTAAAATTCTCCAACCCTGTTAGATAAGGCGCTAGATGCTGAGTTCTGTCAGAGGTGTCCCAGGAAAATAGATCATAAAAAAGGCCTCTGGGGGACTGCTGCAAGAGTTACAAAATTCCTGCTAAGAAGGCCCAGCCTTGTTCTCCAGAGGCTACCTATCTTGGCTACAGGCTGAGAGTAGGATTGCCTCCATCCTTCAGACCCCCAACTGCAAAGACATATGAAGCAGATCTGAGAGGTCCTAGGTGTAGCTAGGTATTGATGCATCTGGATACCAGAGTTTGCGGAACAGTGAAGCCACTATAGACCAGTGCAAAGCAGGGCACTGAACCCCTCCTCTGGACTGAGACTAAACAAAAGGCATTTGAGGCTTTAAAAACATCCCTGACTTCAGCTTCAGCCCTAGCATCTCCAGATGCCTCAAAACCTTTTTATCAGTTTGTCCAGGAAAGAAAAGACGTTACAAAAGTGGTTTTGACTCAAACTTTGGGGTTCTGGAAACATCCTGTGGCATAGCTGTCCAAATAATTGGATCCTGTAGCCGCAGGATGTCACACCTATCTAAGAGCTGTGGGGATGACTGCTAGTCTAGTGAAGAAAAAAAAAAAAACATGTTAACTCTGGGTCACCTTAGACTCACAGACCTCCACGCCATTGAGGCCCTTCCTCTGAGGAACACCAGAACACTGGCTGGGAAATGCTTGTGTGATCCAGTGCCAGATCCTATTCCTAGCTTGCCCTTGAGTCCAGTTTGAGAAAGCAAGCACAGCCAACCCTGCTATCCTCCTGTCTGATGACGATCTGCAAGTGCTCATCCATGACTGTCATGAGGTGAGACATGAAATCAGGTACATGGGAGGCTACGGTAGTTACCTTAACTGAAACCAGGCACCTCAGCCTAGAGCACAGAAGATTGTTCTGACCCAGGCTCTCAGGAGGGAGAAAGGAGAGTCCACTATCATACACACACACACACACACACACACACACACACACACACACACACAGAGACACCAAGCTACTGAGCACGGCCACAGTATGATCAATAGGGAAAGAGGGCTTCTCGCCACTGAGGAAAGGACATCAAAAACAAAGAGAAACTCTGGGTCCTCCTGAAAGCTATTTGGCTTCCTCCACAAATTGCTATCCTCCACTGGTCCACTTCAAGGACATCAAAAAGGTGAGTCCCCTGAGGCAAGAGGTAACCAGGGCCACTGACGAGGCTGACTGACAAAGGCCCTAAGGCCAGCGAAGCCTATTGATATTCTGATGACATACCCTGAGACTCCAGGGTACAATCAAGAGGAAGAAATGGACAGCTCAAACCCACAGGTTGGTGGAGGACACTGGAGGAAAAGCTCATTCTCCCAGAAACAACCCGCAGGACTCTGGTAACTTCACCAGGCTACTCATCTGGGGTCCACAAAACTTTCTGAGTGGGCTCAGACCAAGGTATATTATCACCTAGACAGGACAGCCTATCTCACCCAGATGCCAGGTTTGTGCACAAGTGAATCCAAAGCAGAGAGCCCTTACCTAGGAAGGGGTTCAAATAAGAGACCAATACCCCAGTGAACTTTGGGAAAGCTGACTTCATTGAGATCTGGCTTTCCAGGTGAGGATAAAAGTACTTTCTAGTTTTTATAAATGTCTTTTCTGGATGGGTAGAAGCATTTCCCACTCAGACCGAAACTGCTCAAATAGTATTTTGGAAAGCAGAGGCAGGCAGATCTCTGATAATTTGAGACCAGCCTGGTCTACAAAGCGAGTTCCAGGACAGTCAGAGATATTGCATCAGAGAAACTTTGTCTTGAAAGGAGGGAAGGAAGGAAGGAAGGAAGGAAGGAAGGAAGGAAGGAAGGAAGGAAGGAAGGAAGGAAGGAAGGGGAAAAAGGAAGGAAGGGGAAAGAAAGAAAGTTTCTCCAGGACTCTCCCTAGCAATGGAGACAATAGCCTGGCTTTCATAGCCAAAACTCCTCAATTAACAGCTAGAGCTTTAGACATAGATTGAAAACTTCATTGTGTATATAGACCTCAGAATTCTGGGCAGGTCCAAAGCAAAACATCTAAAGGGACAAGACCAACTCTCTTTCTTGCTAGGCCCCAAGGTAGATATCAGCAAAGCAAGAATTTTGCTAGGCTGCAGCCCAGCTACTTAAGGTAGATATCACCAAAGCAAGAAGTTCCCTAGACTGCAGCCCAGCTGTTTA